GAGTCAGGGGGCACATCGTTCTTGCACACGGGGGGGATGGTGGCTCCCAGGCTGGAGAAGATACAGAGAGAGACGGGGGGCAGTTAGTTCTGACTGGTGCGCTTTGGGAGAAGCAGCCGGGTTCATCTACTCGACACAGAGGAGGGCAGTATGGTCTCAGTCAGGCGTCTGAGGCTCCAGACACTGAGCTTGTTTACTTCAGCCTGAGACGCCGTGTCTTTTCGATACGGAGGTCAACCAGTTCGAAAGGGCTTGGAAACAACACCCAAGGAGGTGCGAGAGCACAGGCAGGGGCCCTCTGTGGATACTCGGAGGGTCGATCCCTCACTCAGACTGCGAGAAAAGACAGACTCAGGGGTTCCCAGGTCAGCCCTGTGCACGCTGCACCACACTCTCGCCAAAACACTGGGTCCCAGAGGAACACTCTCTCTCCTCGGTTCCGATCCGGCCGAGTTACTAATTGCAGGCTGATTGCTTTCAGTTTTCTATTTCAGGCGTGTTGTAAATTTGCTTTCAGCTCCTCCAACGGCGAGATTCAAAGGTCATCAGGTGTGCCTCCCTGCAATGTAGCCAACCCAAACCTGTGGGGCGTGGCCGATATAGGGCCCCTCCCACATCCTGGGGTATGACTGCAGAGGGTCCCTCCCCCTGGAAGGGCGTGGCCAATACACATACAGCCCCTCCCACATTCACCAATCCCCCTTCAAGGGACAACGAGAGGCTGAGTGACACTCCGAGTGCTGAAGCTGTGGGGATCAGCGCCCATAAGGTCAGGTATCTCCGACACTCAAGGCAGACTCCAGAAATAAGCAACTCAATCAAGCCAGCCGTTAGCAGCTACAGCTGCACATTGAAACAAAGACAGTATGGAACTGCTCATCGAACACGTTCTGCCACAGCTGGGTAAAGCGCAGACGCGATGACCTCCAGCTGCCTTTTAAAGAAAGGCACTTTGTTGTAAAGTGTACAGTACAAATACCACTGCTTATATTCGACCCCCCAAAGAGGAAGTGATGTCACAGCAACTGTTAATTAGCTTCCCCAGGGCAACAATAAAGGTAAAGACTAGTGCAGGTAAAGAGTAAACTAGTAAACTAGTGCAGGTAAAGAGCCCTACCCGCTCAGGGTGTAAACCAGGCGGCTCAAGCTGAGTCGCCGGAGGGCCTAGTGCCCAGTGCTTCTGCCTGCAGGTCTTCACTCCAGCTCCCCTCCTCAACACCCGAGGCAGCCGGTTACCGGTTCAACAGCGTTCCCAGCTCTTCGGGTGCTGCCGCTGCATGAACAACACCCTCCCCCCGCCCCAGTCCTGTGCTCTGATCTGAACAGCGGCACCGCATCCCCTTGCTGTCCAGCCCCCAGCTGCTCCGGGGGGCGGCTCACGCTCACCTCTCCAGCCAGGTGCGCAGGAACTTCAGCTCGGGCAGGTGCAGCACGTCGGGGCTGCTCGTACACAGCTGCACGAACGCCTGCAGCTCCGACACCTTCTTCGGGTCCATGTCGGGTCACGACGGATTAAAGCTAATCACCTTAAGGTGGAAGAAGACCGAGCACAAAATTGAAAAAAAGCAGAAACGCACACGGTCGAAACAACGGTGGCGGCCGCCCTGCTCACTCACTCTCTACTAATTAATTGGCCTCGCCTTGACTACTCACTGACGGCTGCTAACCGACATGCACGGCCCAGCGAGGTGAAGACTGCAGCCGAGCGCTGCGGAATGTTCCAGAAGGCTTTGCAACAGTTTTCTTGCCCCCGCCTCATCCCACCCGACACTGCTCTCTCTCTCTCATTACCCAGCCTCGCCCCATCTCCCCGATTTGCCCCGCAGACCCGCTCTTCCCCCACCCCTCGCACCCTCCGGGACCAGGCGAAACCCACCAATGCTGCAACTCCCGCCGGTTTTCACACAGGCTTCTCCGCGGCCCGCCCCGCCAGCGATCAAAACAAGAGCCCAAGCTGAGCGGCGACGGCGGGGTCCTGAGACTTTGTAGCGAGGTCGTGGTCGCATGCAGATGACGTTAAGGCGGCACGGCCCAATCGCCGAGGGGAATTCGCTCAGCGGCAAGCCAATGGGAGCGCTCGTCTTAAAGGGGACGTCTCATTCACAGCTGCAGAAACATGTTCTGGACGTAGGCGAGTTTTGGCAGGAATAGCGACTTCATAGCGCTCGCTTTTTCCATTTTGATTATTTTAGCTTTTTGAAGCTGTTTTAATGTAGTTTTTTTGGTTGGTGTAAATGACCAGCTTTTTGTAATTAGTTCTACTTAAAACCACCCGTATGAATTATATGCACATCCCCGTTCCTCATTCTAACTTCCAAAGATGTTCCAGCCAAGCACCAGATCCGTCAAACCTACAGCACAGCTCTTCGCCTGCTTTCTAACGCGTACTCCATGGATTCGAGGTTAGAAATATTCGTCCTTGTTCTTCTTCAGAGCGCAGGGTTGGAGTGGGGACTTGTCTTGTCTCCAGTAACCCGGTGTCCATTGCGGACGTGTCGTTAGTACGAGGCTCGTAAGCAATGGTTTGGTGTATTCAGTGCTTAGTAGACGAAGGGCTTGCTGGCCTACCTCCAAGACTCCATACTGTTGTACTGTTATACTGTTGTATTAGGCTAAAGTTGAACTGAGTTGATGCTTTTGACCACTCAGGACAGATGAGGATATTATTGCACTCGCACTAACAGCCCCCTCAGCCTAAACCACCCAAACGGAAACGGAGAAATTGTTCATTTTTCCTTTTGCTGAATATCCCTGTATGAGACCAGGCTGCCAGTCGAGCTGTTTTCCTCTGGAAATCGCACAGCGGCGTCGACTGTAACACCTGATTATTTTAGCAAAGAGGACTCTCTCTCTCCCCCCCAGGCTGCGTGTCCACCCGGAGGAGCGGCCTGTGTGTCCAGGCCTGTCCGAGCCAACAGAGGTCTCTTCCCCGCAGGTACCTGGGCCAGCCCAGCCCTCACACACACCCCCACCTCCTCAGACCAGGTGAGCTCCTCTCACGCCTGCTGCCTGCCTCCCGTTACTGCCTTCCTCTCTCTCCTGTACGGGGTAACCGACCAGTTCCAGACACCCGCCGCTCTTTGTGTAAAGAACCGCCACACCCGCTCCAGTGTTGCCAAAGCACTCCTGACACTCTCTCCCTCTCTCCCCTTGACTCTTCCTCCTCCTCTCTCCCAGGTGAGGTGACCCCAGCTCTGACCCAGCGGGAGTTCGCACTTCGCCGCCACAGGCTGATGGCCCTGATCTCCGGGCGGGACGGGGGCGGCCCCCCCAGCGCCGGCCCGGGGCACGTGGCGGTCGTGCTGTCGCACCCCACGCGCTACATGGCCAACGACATCCCGTACCCCTTCCACCAGAGCGCCGACCTGCTCTACCTCTCCGGCTTCCTGGAGCCCGACTCCGCGCTGGTGCTGCACCTGCCCGCCGGCGCCCCCCCGGCCCACCACACCGCCTCGCTGTTCGTGCCGCGCCGGGACCCCGCCCGCGAGCTGTGGGACGGCCCGCGGTCGGGGCAGGACGGGGCGGCCGCTCTCACGGGGCTGGAGAGGGTGTACCCCACTGAGGAGCTGGGCAGGGAGCTGCTGGGGCTGAAGGGTATGACACTGTTCCCGGGGGGTGGGGGTGGGGGTGGGGGTGGCGTGAGCTGAGCGTGGCAGGTCACTGCCCCCCGTTGCTTTCTGGGAAACGTAGTTCAGACAGGGATCTCCAGCCTGTCTTCATCCACTGCCCTTCCACAGACAGGAACTTCACTCCAGCTGCGTAAGGAACATTAACCTGCATGTATTATAGCTAGCTGGTGTGTGGGGAG